TAAGCTTAATACGTTTTAAGAAAGTTAAAGTTAAAGATATTATCTGGAGAGCGCTTTCAAAAACAAGACAGAAAAGCTATAGCCTACAAGTTGGTAAAGTTTTAGTTGACAATATCTAGATCTATAGCAATATAACAGATTAATGAACAAAAATAAAACTTTTATTTTTGAATTTTAGAAGTTTTACGCTCTATCAAAAGATGGAGACACTTGATAAATATTCTCCCCACGCGGGAATCGACCTCACATCTCATACGGGCGACAGCAGAGCGCCTAACTGTTAGACCACAGACGCTGGAAAAGGGTAAAACAAGTAAATGAGCAAAAACTCAGATAGATCGATAGATAGATCGATAGATAGATAGATGGATAGATAGATAGATGGATAGATAGATAGATAGATAGATAGATAGATAGATAGATAGATAGATAGATAGATTAAAAACTTACCACCTCAATCTTTTATTCCTGAATGTATAATTTGTGCCATTTTGACTATCAAACCACTGTACACTGAAACAACACTAAGCACTGTGTCCAGTGGCCATCTTGACTAAGTGACCAGCTGATGGTTGCCGGGGTTGCCCTTTTATACTCAGGTACTCGGGACTCTAAAGCTTTTAGCAAAGGTCAGCACGCGACACCCCACTCCCGCTCTCAACCCCAGCAGTCGAAAATGAAATTATTTGAGACAGACTAACAGCAGAGACACTCTGCTAACAGGAAGGGTGGGCGGGGGAGGGGTTTAAAACAGAAAAATCTAAAGGTTAAAAAAAAAAGAAGCAAGGGAAAACGATTTAGGAGAATACTAAGGGGGGGGGGGGGGAACAGAGGGGACAAACAGATCATCTTTAACATTTTGCTAGTATTTCTCTGTTTAAGTCTGAGAGAGTACATTCGAATTCGAACGTATCCAGTCCTTTTATTTGTTTCTTTTTTTCTGGCCCATCTGTTTCCTCGCCATGTCTTGTCTCTCGTTTCCCTGGCTGCCAGTCCTGTTGTTAATTCTTCATGGGATTGTCGTCTGAACAACGTTTTTGAACTTATCAGTCTACTTATTGTTTATGTGTGTGTGTGTGTGTGTGTGTGTGTGTGTGTGTGTGTGTGTGTGTGTGTGTGTGTGTGTGTGTGTGTGTGTGAATGTTTTTGTGTGTATGTGTATATGTGTGTATGTATAATTATATATATACATATATGCTCACGACTTGGCCCAACGTGAAAAAGGTCAAACTGCCCTGACATCTAACGACTTAGAACTCGTATGTTTTTAGGTTGTTTTTTAATGCGTCGGGAATTTCCTGTTGTGTTAGGGTAAAAATCGCTAGGTTCTTTGCCTTTTTTTCTAGGTCATGATTTCAGTGTGTAAAGTGAGGAGGGAAAAAAAAACAGAGGGCGGTTAGTTATTTTAGGGGATAGATGTAGGGGTAGCACGTAGCGTGCATAATCTGGGCTCGTGCTACCTTTGCAACTAGGCCTTATATATTTTTGATGAGTTATTATCTGATTCACGAAGCGCTGAACTTCAATTTTAATGGAGTTGTTGAAGTATAAAAGCACCTCAGGCGTTTTATCCCAGAGGGGATCATATGACATTATACGAGAATCTCAAACAAAGCGTACAATTTCACAACAAGTAGTCACGATTGTTAATGATTTATCAGCTTTCTATGATTATCCTTTGAGAGTGTACTAGACCACCCGAATTATAAAGAACACTTTTAAAGCTATAGGTCAACAAAAGATTATGGTATTTAGGTCTTTACGATGTGCGGTTGATGACAGAAAAAATATGGTCCTTGAAAGGCAATGAGAATTTTTTAACAATCAAAAATAAGCATTTCTGAACATTTAGGAAAACAGTCCTTGAAAGACCAAAGGAACACCCCCCCCCCCCCCCCCCCCCCCAAGAAAAAAACAAAAACAATTGAAATTCGAATCCCCTTTCTGGTCACAATCTGCTTTGTGTTCTTTTTGGTCTGGTTCATATGCCAAAGGCTGGTGTGACATCAAGGGCGTAGCTATACTCTTTTTGTCAACACATACCCCCTGTCACTTTAAAGCCCATCCAATTCTGATAAAATGTTTACCCGTTTGTTTCACAAATGAAAATGTTAATCCCTCTATTAGCTGCTTGGTATCACAAATATTAACTATAGAGGTTTAGCATCTGCATCCTGGCTTTTATTTCTCTCTGATACATTATGTTTTTTCGATAGCTCGATTAAGAATTATACAGTTCAAGTATCCGATTAAAACGCCAAAAATGTACTCTATGGATGGCATGACCCTTAAAAAAATTCAATCTTCATCTCAGCCTCTAACGAAAGATTTGCTCATATTATTTCACTAAATGTGACCAAGCGGTATGGTATAACCCATTTCTATGTATTTTACATGTATACTACACGCCTGAACCAAGGACAGGATGATGATGACGATGATGATGATGATGATGATGATGATGAGTGAGTGAGTGAGTGAGTGAGTGAGTGAGTGAGTGAGTGAGTGAGTGAGTGAGTGAGTGAGTGAGTGAGTGAGTGAGTGAGCGAATGAGTGAGTGAGTGAGTGAGTGAGTGAGTGAGTGAATGAGTGAATGAGTGAGTGAGTGAGTGAGTGAGTGAGTGAGTGAGTGAGTGAGTGAGTGAGTGAGTGAGTGAGTGAGTGAGTGAGTGAGCGAGTGAGTGAGTGAGTGAGTGAGTGAGTGAGAACCTCTGTGGATCAGCAGCAGCAGCAACAGATCTGCAGCCCCCCCCCCCCCCTTTCCCATCCCCGTGCTGGAGTAAAAGCCACCAGAACTTCTGTCCTGGCATTAGTCTTCGGTTCCTCTGGGATAGGATCTTAGTCCCTCCCCCAAGTACTTTCAGACATTCTTTTTTTTTTTCTCTTTCCTTGCAGATTCCTTTTCAAGCTTGGTGGGTAATGTTTGATTTCGGTTTTCTCAAGATGTGCACAATCCACTTACATTTTCTTTTTCTGATTTCTGTATTATCTATTTTTTTGTCGATCTGTTTGCTTCCACACAATTAATTTGGAGTATCTTGGTTTTTGTCTAAATAAACTTTAACGTCTGTCATTTGTGAGAAATTTACAAGACCTTTCGTTTTCTCTTTCATCTGTTGATGACCACAAAAATAAAGCAAGATCATCTGCAAAGTCCAGGTCGTCATGATGTGTCTATAACATCCATTGCACTCCTGTCTTTTTGTGTTGTGTGGTCGTTTTCATGATCCAGCCTATGGGAGGCAGAAACAAGGAAAGTGACGGTATACATTCTTGATTTACTCATGTGTGTATATGGAAGCTGTTGGTAAACTGACCCTCATGGGGTGACTCTGCAGTTCGTATCCTTGTAGTACATGTATTCCTGGGTTAGTCTGACTAGTTTTTCCAGGATGCCATAATGTCTGACTATTGTCTACAAGGTGCCAAGATGGATGCTGTTGAATGCTTTTTCGTTGTCCACAAAATTTATTAAAAGTGGTGATTTCCATTCCAATGACCAACTGGCTTGGGTCTTATTTCTTTGTTCTTTGTATTAACTGTGATAAGCCTTGGTCCATGTCCTTCCTGTGAAATGAGGGTTGTTCCAGCTGGTCTCGAAAATGTGAATGTCACTCCCTTAATTGTGCGTGCTGAGCTGTCGTCCAACATTTAAAAAACCCGAAAGACACAAATCATGTACATGAACAAAGACGCGTAGGTGAATCCATTTTCCAGGTTTCATACATGGTATTTCCACTAACAAGATTATAATGCATGTACTTGTGAATCTATAGCCTACTGTAATATATTTCCACGTTGCCTTTCTATATGCCTTTGCGTTGTTCGCTGTCTTTTCAGTAATTATGCATCCATTATAATCTGAGCCCGAGCGATCTTACGTACTTTTCACCTGTCTATAGCGGGCCCTGTCCAACTTGGCCATGGTCACACATTTTCGCGGCTTAAGTCAGTCTCAAAACCTGCTTATGGTGGCTATTTGCTTCAAAAGTTTTCCGCAACCCGTCCTGCAAACTGAATGTGGAGGTTCAATCAATACAAGAACGTTCTTATAATAAAATAACAATATTTAATAGAAAAGAACTACAGAAAGATAAAGTGAAATCGTTGTACTTTAATACTTTAAACCTTCTGATGACTTTGTCTAGTCTTTAGTTTAGTTTTAGTAAGAGTTTTACGGCACTCGCAACTGCATAATAAGGTCATATGAGGGCCAGAAGATTAGAAGTGTCACTGGAGAGTAACAAACATAAAAAAGAAGGGGAGATAAGGACAATAGATGTTTGATAGGAAAGAAGGAGCAAACCACACCAGAACACCCGCCAACCACCCACTTTGTCTAGTCTAGTAGGGCTAAGTGGCCATAAGTAAGAACCTGCTCAAAGCGGGCACTTGTCTATAACGGTAAATTTTTTATGTTCTATTGAATGGTCTTTATGGACATGTTTGACTGTAATATGTTTTCTTGAATGTATTTGTATTATTGTGAGTGTGCGTGTTTGTTTTATTCTAAATTGATGTTTGCCTGTGTACGTTGAGGAGCAGCCGTTGCAATGTGCGGTTCAGAGCGTAAGCACAACCAGTAGGCCTGTATGATTTAGCCACACAGATCTATCATCGGCTGTTGCAACCTTTGCATTACTTTACTAAGTACTGCTGTCATAGCAACAAGAACAGAATCTGCATAAAACGTTATAATCCTTATAAACGGTGCCTACTACGTATTAGATTGAATTGAACTTGGAGGCGCGTGACGAGAAGAAAAAATTCATGATTGCTTCCCTTTGTGAGTCAAGTGAGTGTTGAAAAGTCGAAGAATATTATACTTATCTTGACTGAAAAAAAATAATTCAGTAACCTTTGTTTTCGTTGATGTGATTTTATAGAATCCCCAATCTATTTTATAGCTATTACAAGATGTTAATTAGGGAGAAGCTTGTGGATCCCCCCACCCCGAGATCCTCTTTCGTTGCTCCGAGTCTACTGTGAATAATCTGCACTTTGTAACTTCCACTTCCGCATCGCGGGTAAATAACGAAAGTACAAACCAACACAGTGCACCGCACAATGACTGACTTCAGTGTTAAATTTGTGTCAAAAAAGATTAGTAAAGTCCGTTGGCGGCCAAGGGCTAACGTTAAATCTCCACCATCAACAATTTTTGCATCGGGGAGTTGGGATGATCAGGTTAGACTTTTAATTTTCGTTGACCAACTTGAACTTTCCATTGCAGCCGGGGCCCTTTTACTTTTCGGAGTGTCTACGTACACGGTAACCGGGCACCTAGTCTCAGTATCTACGTACACGGTAAACCAGAATGAAAATAAATCAATATTTTGTCCTGTGCTGTCAATTGCTGAAAAAAAGAAAGTCATAAGCGTCTTGTTGGGCTCGCCATCTTGACCGGTCAGTGAACCTGTGTGTGCACATCGCATTGTGAGTACCGGTTGGGGTCACCACTGTTCATTCAAAGCCTTGCGCTGCGAAGTATAGGGCTCCGGAATGGGGGGTATTGATTTTTGTAAAAATTAAGGTACAGTCGGGGGAGGGGTGGGGACGAAGGCAACACTGAATGACAAAAACTGAACTTGGAGTTCTGAACTGCCCGCGCGGTTAACGTGTACATAACACTGAGACCACGTGACCGGTTGCCGGTTACCGTGTACGTAGACACCCCGTTTACTTTTTGCGTGGAAGTCCAAAGTGGGTACTATTCTCAGCCTTATCCTGTTCTCACCAGGGGGTGAGAAACATGCCCTTGCCTTACAGACAGAACGTCAACATGGCTTTTGTGCATGCGTTACTCGTCCGTTAGATCTAGATCTAGTAGCGTCACAGTCACCTCCGCCAACTCCTTTATTGACGTATGGAACATATTATATAGTCATATATCATGGCGCACAGACATCTCTCACTCTCTCTCTCTCTCTCTCTCTCTCTCTCTCTCTCTCTCTCTCCCAAGGTAGGAAAACAAACAAAAAAGTCCCCATTTTGCAACATGTATTACTCATGTCATGGGTCTCAATAGTCCGCTATTTATCGGATTTCCGCTACCGCCATTTCCTCCGCTAAACCCCGCTACCGCGACAGCGGGCCAATCACTAAGAGAGTTGTTGGGAGCAGGGCGATTGCCAGGTCCCGGGAATTTTTTTTTAATCACCGAGACCAGGGAAAATACTTAATAGATCTCGAATATTTGAAAACCAAATCCAATAACGTCTTTTAGTTTTCATTTCTGCCGGTCGCGATTGTGATTATATTAATTCTGCTCTGAGAATACGTTTCACGCAAATTGTAGGCAAGCGGAATTGTGTCACCAAGGCTCGACTGGAAAATCAAGATCTACTTTCGGTTTCGTTGCCACCCAGATATTTGTCAGTAATTGTCAATTTAACGCAACATTTATTGTAACATGCAGGTTCGGCATTACAAACGTGGTGTCGCCATGAAAATAAATAAATATTTGTCACTGTGCTGTCACTTTTGGGGGCTACAAAGAAAAAAAGAAAAGAAAGTAAATACAAGCGTCTTGTTGGGCCCGGTCTAGACGGTCATATAATCAGGCCACCTGCGCGCTACTGACCTAGATTCCTTGTGGGCTGACACACCCGTGTAGTAAGCCCACAACCTTGTAGATCATTAGTAGTGATAAGCCTACGCAGGGTGCGGCGGTCAGTTTGAATTGTTGTTTTCTCATGCTTTGACACTGGATTATTTCTGCCTAATGCAGTTTGCTTTTCAAGTCATCTGGATTATGTGAATATTTTCTACATCATTGTGTGTGTTGAGGAACAGAAGTGGTGACTAATTAATTAATTAATTAATTAATTAAGATTGACCAACAGTCTTGAGATCGCAAATTTGAAGTGCTGTTTGGCTGCACTGTAGGCCTACTGTTCATTTTCAGATTCTTCATCGCCATCGTACTCAGTGAATGCCTGGATTCTTTTAGTTGAGGCCTAATGCAGTTGTTTTTTCCAAATCATCTGGATTGTGTGAATATCAAATATCTCTTCCATCAGTGTACGTGTTTAGATTAAACCTACAGTGAAGTTTTGACCGTGCAAGTTTAATTCATATCTGTCTAAATCCATTCTAAAATCCATGTCTACACAGTGGAGGCCCCCCCTCCTGATCCGCACACTCTTCACTGACTTAGAGCCTCTCTATGCAAACAACCACTAAAAACGAACTCTCCATCCTATCCCTAGATCTGCTTTTAGATTTAGATTAGTTTGTAACACAAACAATAGACTAAAAGGACCATGTAGATATAAATCTATATATCTAGACTTAGACTCTGAGCGTCTAGGGGCCCACCCTTGTTAGGTAGGGAAAAGTATACGGATCATAATTATGGGGGAGCTCCTTTGTGTTTTTCCCGACCTGCTTTGTATATTAATATCTGCTGTTCTTTCACAGTGCTTACATGCTTCTCTTCTAGGCCTATTTATTGCTTTCATCATGTGTGGTTATGACTCTGTTGGACTGTGACTGACACCTTCAAAATAAACTGAAGGAATAAGAACAACAATGGGAAGAAAATGCTCAGTTGGTGGATGCAAAACTGGCTATGACAGTCAGAAAGGTGCAGAAAAAGTGACCTTGTATGGATTTCCTTCGGATGAAACAGAATGTCGGGCATGGACTGCTAGCTTACCAAACATTTTATCCTATGAAAAGGTGTCAAAACATATCAGTGTGTGCCCTCCATTTCCGTAAAACTCTAACTCAACTCAAGTCAACTTTCTGTCTTCCCATCGCTTTTGTCTGTCTAGAATATTTTTTTGCATGTCCGTTAGTTTGAACACAAACACAGGGAAGCTAAACCATTGAGAGAGAGAGAGAGAGAGAGAGAGAGAGAGAGAGAGAGAGAGAGAAAGAGAGAGAGGGGGGGAGAGAGAGAGAGAGAGAGAAAGAGAGAGAGGGGGGGAGAGAGAGAGAGAGAGGGCGGGGAGAGAGAGAGAGAGAGAGGGCGGGGGAGAGAGAGAGAGAGAGAGAGGGCGGGGGAGAGATTGAGAGGGGGGGGGAGAGAGAGAGAGAGAGGGAGAAAGAGACCGCCTAGCCGTGGCCGTTGTAGTTGTAATCATTATTATCATTACGAAGGTCACTGCTTGCTGTGGGCCGAAGCCTGAGCGGCCGGTGTGTCAGCCCACAAGCAAGGTGTGTAGTTCTTGGGCTGCGCTGCCTGATTTATGATCGCCTAGGGCCCGGTCAATGAACCTGCGCGCGTTGTGAGCCCTGCGAAGTACAGGACTCCGGAATGGGAAGAAATTTTTATTTTTTTAAAAGATATACTCTGAGATAGGGGGAGGGCTGGACGCAACACCAGAGGACAAAAAAACTGAAACTGGAAGCAAATGTTTAATGTTTAGAAAAATTTTGATTACTGCTATTACTACAGCTCTCTGCAAAGTAAAGTGTGCGTTGGTGCAGGCCTTGTGTGAAATCGGGAACCGTCATAACTTGTAAGCGTGTTATAATGGAACTTTGGGGCCTAAGTGTTCGTGTTTCATTGGATTGGTGACAGTAAATAAGATAGCTTTCTGTTCAAGATTTGGAGATTTTCAGTATCACTGCATCTTTGCCCTCCCACAGTTCTTACACCTCTCACACTGAATAGATCTACTTTGAGTTTGAGCATTAATTTTTGTCTTTCACGTTTATTATATAGGCCTATATATATGATATAAATCATGACAGTCGATATTCTGGTTCTAGGCCCAAAACAAGATTCATTTTTATATAGTTTATATAGGCGAATATTATGAAGGGAAAAAATATAAATAAGACCCCAGACGCCACCACTTTCTGTATGTAATCAAGATTGAAAATATTGTTTGTACGTGGCTCTTACTTGAAATTATCTCCCAAACCCTAAAATTGGTGTGAAATAACCTTGCTTTGATAAATTTATGGATTTTATTTCAGCATTCTAGCGTTCAACAGTATAATAATAATGGGTGTTTCGCGAAAATGGGCTTCTGTGGCGATCACCCGCAAATTCCTCCTTTTTTAAAATTCTGAATTGAGACCCATGATTATTGATTACTACTAAATTCTTCTTCTCTTTCTCCTTCTATTTCTTCATCTTCTTCTTTTTCTCCTCCTCCTCTTCGTCATGCTCCTCCTGCTTTTTCTTCTATGAGCGCTCCAAACCCGCTGTGAGAAGACGGTCAAAGGCGTGAGACCGAAACCGGGAATTCCTAGAGAATCGTAATACGGGGTGCCCACTACGGCTGGATCGGGCTGATCGCTTGAAACTGAAAACAAACACATTTGTCTTTGAGGCGACCGAGTCGGGCGTTCGGCCGATCCCATCTGTAGTGGGCATCCCGTATTAGCCTACTATGTATTCATGGGTCAAACTTTAAACCAATCGTAGCCCTGTTTACGCCCACTCTGTAGTCATATGTCTATTAGGCGTACAAGGCTTTAGCATCGTTGACATCAACCGTAATTTTTCTCGGACTTCAGACATCTGACCTAGATATGACACTTCTCCGATAGCGCTTATGAGTAATGCATGCGCAAAAGTCATGTTGACGTTCTGTCTGTAAGGGCATGTGGGTTAGAATAGCCTATGGCCCTATGTCTCGCTGAGGTTTAGTTTATAATGAGCTGGGTGAAGGCCATTCCATACCATGAACAGCAAACAACAGTGAAAAAAAAACCGCACACACAAAAAAAAATCTGAACTAGTTCTAGACTAGAAATCTAGATCTATAGTTATGCAAGGACGAAATGTCAAGAGCAGAACGCAGCTGATACCTACGGGTCCTCACAATTATAGATCTGATTTTGATCAAGCCTAATTTTAAGAACATTAAGGCTCGCCTCATGCTCACACCGGGGTGGGGGTGAGAATAGCGGGTCATGAGCTATGGCCTTTTTGCTCTACTTTACTTTACTTTTGCTTTAATTTTCATTGTACTATCTAGATCTACTCTAAAGATTACACCGTCTGCTGTGTAGTGTATCTGTGGCAAGATGTGAGTCTTATCAGTAATTTCATAATGCGGATGTTCGCGGCGGGCTGTCGAGGTCACTCAGCATGGAGCCTACTGTTAACAATACAGCGAGCGGCCCTGGAAATGTGTTTTTGTCGTGAATGCTGTTGGAGTGTGTTAATCGTTGATTAAAATAGTGCTCTAGATCTATCTTTATTTTTATAAAGTGTTGTGAACACGGATCTAGAAGTAAGCTACAAATTAATGCACACAAACTCAAGCAGACTGACACACACACCCACATTGAGCTGCGGGAATACAGGACCCGGTGATTACATCGCTACCTTAGTGCTTTCTTGTCCTTACATCTCCATTTCTAATAACAGTCAAAACAGTTCATGACAAAGGGTGAGCAGCCACATTTTCAATGTTTAAAAAAAATGGAGATAGGACAAGAAAGCACTGAGGTCGCGATATGGATGATACTCAACACGCTTGCGCTGAGTCAGGGGCTGGACTGATGATGTGGGACCGGATGAAATGCGAGGTACCAAAATATGCTTATTGGGGAACGTTATAAACTCGGCACCCGCGCGACAGGGGTTAATTTACCCCCAGTTCACATTTCCCATTAGATTCGTTTGAATACAGTTGGTGCCATCCAGGATAGTATTATTTTACTATCACTCCAGTCTCTTTTTCTGGTATTGTGTAGAACACTTTTCTTGTGTGCCGTTCCTCCTGGTCATTGTACATAATTTGTAATTTCAATGAAAGTGAAAGCTTAAAACAAAAGCATATATATTGATCAACTTTTTTATTTTTCCTGATCGAGACTTTCAAGCCCTAAAATTACATTTCTTCTTCCATCATAGCTACTTGTAAAGTTTTCGTTTATTTATGTCAAGTGGATAGAATCATAGGGCACGCTTAATTTGTTGAGGCAGTTTTGGTTAAAAAGAACGTTGCAACTTATGATTCTTATGTGATTCACTGAGTACCACATACAGTATAACACAGATAGATCGAACACTGAAGATTCGAAACCTCACATCCGTCGAACTGTGCCTGCAGCCCTTGGAGGGGGGGGGGGTCTGCTTTGTCTTTGTTAGATATCCATAGAATTACCGATCCCTCGAACTACTGAGGCCGGTCCCGACGAATTCGAGCAGTCCATGTTATACTATTAAGTTATACTGTATTATTTTTTGAGGAACCAGGTTCTATCTATATTTCTATACTATCAAAAAATTTTAATTTTCAAAAGATGTCAAGAGTCTGATCCCTTAAAATTTGGTGGCCGTAAGTTTTAATTGAGCTCAGGACCAAATTGGCTCTCTTCTTAGACTTGCAATTCGAAGGAAAATATAACTCGTATTCTTTCTGTTTGTGTCTGCTTCTGTTTCGATTAGAAAATTTGTAAAATCTTAATAAGACAGTATTTCTTAACTTTCTCATACACAAATGTATTCTCATCTGTTTAAATACCATGCTGAAGAATAGCTTGGATGGATTGTTTGAAACTTCTCCCAATTATTCAAGTCAGGTATGTTTTCCTTCTTATCCGAGATTCGTCTTTTATTGCATTGTATTTCAGTATATCTGCTCGTTTGATTCTGGTCTGTACAACCAAACTTGAAGTACCGTCTTGGATGTGAATTGTATTATCCCTGTTTTTGTCACATGTCTAGTGCTTTTTAGTGTTTAAACTTGAGAGCTTCTTTTCTCCAGACTTCATTAGTCAAACATTGCTCACTTCAAAACTGTCACCTGATATATTACTGTCCCATGGACAGGTTCTATCCCCAGTTGCTATCTCAGTATTGTCACATATATATTTTCAGTATATTCACTGTTGCATTCATAGTCAATAAGAACTAGCGCTTTTGTATTAATACTTCGAGATCACAAGGTGAATGCATCACCATTCCCTATAGTCCATATCTAGGGTACAAAAAAAAGTAGTAGGTGTGAAAGCAAATGTTGCTTTGCTGTTCATCAAATCGTTAAATATTCTTTCTTCTTCATATATTTTTAGCAAAACAGTGTGTCTGTGTGGAAGGTTTGGGATCGTCTATCAACGGAGGACAATGGCATGAGTGAACCATTGCTGGAACATGAACCCCAAAAAATCTTTGAAATCCCACATGTTGGAGATGTGACAGACATGCAGGTAGGTCAATTTGCTGCGTTCTTCAGTTATCAAAAAATGGAAGTGAGAAAAGAATTTGATACTTTTGACTGAAGATAAGTAACTGTGCATTCAAGTAGGAAAGCTTTTAATGTGCATACACTGTGGAGTCCGCTAAGACTGAAACCTGCAAAACTGCTAGATTTTCTTCGATTTAGAGAGGGTTGCTCAAAAATGATAATTGTCAACAGCATAGAGTTGGAAAAGGCATGCGTATGACAAATTTCTTCTTTTTTTTTTTTATTGTAATACACCTTTTTACGAACTGCAATTTTAGCTGCTGACCATATGCACTGCGCTTTCTCTTGGACATTTTCTGCTTGTTTGATTTGCTGAGCAATCACGCAAAATAGATGAAACAGTAGATCATCACACTGTACTGCTCACTACTCTGTGCTCTGCGTTAGTTTAGAGAAATGAAAAAGCCCAGTGCCATTGACTTGAAACACCTCATGTCATCTTATGCTCATTTTTAAGGCCTATGTGAACTATCTTGGCAGAGACTATAGACCATGACCAACAGAAGGGCATGGGACAGACATACATTCACTACTTTCCTTGCTTCACTGGGCCTATACACAGTGTGTTGGCCCTTTGATGTTTGTGCGATATCATAAACATAGGCAAACAGTACACTGGTGGTACTTCTCTCTAGCTGACAATCGATGCTCATGCACTCTCGTGTCAGGTGTTTACCTATCTTGAAGTGTATGAGACTTATTGATGATTTACATTACTTAAGGGATGCTAGTGAAGATTTTGTCAGCATACCCTCGAAATATCTTTTCGGTTTAGAAATGGCAGCATTTCTTTTTTTTTTTTTTTTTTTTTATCTTTTGGGTAGGTGTTTTACAGCACTTGCAACTGCATAATAAGGTCATATGAGCGCGCGGACACATTAAACATTTTCAGTTGGTACAAAATTTTGAATTTTGCCCGGGTGGCGACCGAAGCCTACTCTTATCGATTTTAGACCGCCAAAGGATCTTAAACGTGCACAACTTGCACACGGGACCTCCAAGATTTTTCACCCTTGTCCGGGAAGGCTAGGTGTAGATCTTTCATACCAGTAGACCAGGAGTGTGGCTGAAAGACAGTAGTAAGAAGGAGCCAAGGAGTAGCAGTAGAAAGAATGTAGAAAGAGTGAGGAGCCCAGAAGGGGGCAAAGGAGGTGAGGGGTGGGGGCACAAAGTGGAGAAGAAAGCAGACAGAATATTGCTAGAGAGTAGTAAAGGAGGTGAAAAAAGACCATTTTAGAGAAGAAAATTTTCAGGTCGCTACCCGGATTCGAACCCGGGACCTTTGAATGAGAGGCGAACACCTTAACCTCTAGGCCACGAAAGCCCCCGGGCAGCATTTCAGCTTATAGCTTTCTTTTTTACAAAGATAAAGAAGAAAAATTTGGGAGATTTTATTTTCTTTCAGTTTACCACTGTTTACGGATTAACCGTGTTTGGTAAAGTGGGCTCCATGAATTTCATTTTGATCTCAAATGGTTGACATTGCCATTTTATACACCTTTACTGAATGTGTGTAGTTTGTTTGATATTCATGCTTTTCTTCTGTTAGTTAATTAGGGTGGGGGTTTTTTAAATCTGATACTAATTTATTAATATTTGACTTGAATATGACATTGTAGATTTCTCCTTATCATTCCTAATAATGGGATTGTTCACATTTTGAACTTTTCCGCAATGACTGACATTCTGCAACAACAGTGACGGCATTGTAGAATATAAGGTGGCCTTGATAGTTACGTTTGCCAACTTTGTTGCCACCAAAGTGCAGGTTTGCCAACTGTCCCGAATTTCTCCACCAGGAATTTGAGAGCCCTATTACATACACTACATCAAAATCAGTCCTACTAGATGTAATTTTGTTGATTGTTATATATATAATCTGATGTTATATTGTTGGATGTCCTTGATTGGGTTTTGCAAAATGTGAGTCTGCCATTATTTCCCCTTGTAGTCTTCATTTGTGCGTGTACATTTGTTTTCAGTACATGTCCCATGACCTTCTGGCAGTGTCCTCCTCTGCAGGGGGTGTGGCTGTCTACAAGCACCAGCCAAACACAGAGGTGGGTAGTACTGGAATCAAACCGGTGGTTGGAGGATGCCACTCATAGGCCCTACTTCTTTTCATTCTGCTTGTAGTTTCTGTCCATCTGCTTTGCTTTTTTCCAGCACTAAAAGACTGTTATTGTCTATATATTTTTATATTTACTACTCAAACAAACAAACAAAGCACGGATGAGTCAGACAGATCAGGAATTGACAAATGTGTTCGACTCGTCCATGATTCAGGTAGACTGTTTAGCAAAAACTTTAAGATATATATATATTAGTCTGGGAATGGCAAATTGTACAAGCTATCTGTGATTTCAACTTGTCCATGTTCATGTTGTCTGTACGAGTAATGAATGACAGTGCCCTCTCGTAAAAACTTACTAATACAGATCTTCATTCTTTTGCCTCTGTGGAGTTTAAAGGTTGTAATCAGAAAATAGACATTTGATCCTTATTTCTCTTTCTTATTTTCTATTTGCCTTTCCAATTACCATATGTATTATTTGCTCCCAATAGCATGCAAAAAGGAATTCTGAGGCAGAATGATTGTGCCTCTTCTAATGAAAAAAGAAAAAAACAGAACTTTCTATTATCCAGCTTTGTACTTCAAATCTTTCAGTTTACACATTTTTTAAAATACCACATTTAACAGCAAGTGGTAAGCTATGAAAGCAAAACTGTTTAGAAGCATATTGAATACTTTAAACATTCGATGAACTGTGATTGGTGGACACTAAGTGTGGTGTTCCCCTTTTTCCTTATCAAACAATTATAGTCCGTATCTCTCCTTTTTTTCGGCGTTTTTATGGCCCATTTGTGTTGCAATTGCTTTAAATCTCCTACAAAAACTCATGAACTGTCAAATTCCTCCTTTACAGGGCCTGAGTAAGGTGTGTTCATGGGATAAGTTGCACCGTTTTGCACCAGGCAGCACGTCTCCCTGCACCTGCATTTCACCGCGTGATGACGATTGGCTGGTCAGCGGAGGGGAGGACGGACATCTAAATGTCCTGGCTCTTGGACAGAGGGAACCAGTGCAGGTCATAGGTCGGTGTCTTCATCTCCTTCTGTGTTACACAACGAGGGTAACAGTAAGGGGGCTCTCGTGGCCTAGAAGTCTAAGAAGTTAAGGTGTTTGCCTCTCATTCAAATGTCCCGGGTTCGAATGCGGGTAGTGACGTAAAAATTTTGTTCTCTAAAATAGTCTCCTTTCACCACCTTTCCTGCTCTCTAGCAATGTTCTGTCGTTTGCTTTCGTCTTTCTGCCCCCACCCCCTCACCTCCTTTGCCCCCTCCTCTGGGCTCTGCAGCCTTTCTACTGCTACTTGTTGGCTCCTTCTTACTTCTGTCTTTCAGCCACACCCCTGATCTTCTGGTAGAAAAGATCTACACATAGCCTTCTCGGACAAGGTTGAAAAAATTCGGAGGGCCCTTGTGCAAGTTGCGAACATTAAAGATCCCTTGGTGGTCTATAATCAATAAGAGTAGGCTTCGGCCGCCACATGGGCGAAATTCAAAATTTCCTACCAACTGATAATGTTTAATGTGTCCCGTGCACTCATGATCTTATGCTGTTGCGAGCGCCGTGAAACACTTACCAAAAAAAAGAAAAAAGGAAAGAAAAGATAACAGTAAAGTGACACTCAGACACACACACACACATACACACACACACACACACACACACACACACACACACAGACAAATATACACGCACACATGTTTTTGCCAGTCATGACAATCACAGTCCAGTGTTTCCTGTTCCTGTAAGACATAGGTGCAACCCACTGTGACCATGAAGGTCAAGCACTTGGTCAAGCAGTTCAGTTTGGGTTGGGGGGAGGGGGGGATGGTAATTAACTCAAGGCCCTTACTCCCACAGAACAGAATAACTGGTTTTAATGTTTATATTCCCTCCAGAACATAATGCCCCCTCCCTAATGATTCCCTTAATTATTCATGTGGACCAAAGTTAAGTCAATGATTTTTATGTATTGAGAAGAGTGCCTTTGTGTTGTTGATCCAGCACCTGTTTTGGCACTAAGACTCAACTTATTTTCGGTCCAAATTCTTGGTGTGTATCTTTTTTCTTTAATCACTCTGCTGCTCAGTATAAGACTGTCATACATAACTTTTTCTAAATGGCGTATGGCAGAGTTTTACACTAAGGAGTCGAAATAAAGGTTTAAAAAAAACTAATTTGTACAGTGGCATCTACTTTTAACAAGTCCTGAAATAACCAAAAGTCTGTTATAAAGACACTATTCTAAAACCCTGGGGGGTGGTTTTTCCTTCTTTATCTTTGTAAATAAAATATTGCTATAATGCAATCAAACAGACAAACGAGTCAGTTATAGCGGAATATTGCTGCTGCTGTAAAACCTTGCCAGTTGAAAAAATTTGTTGGTGATCTAGCGAAACAGAATCGGAGCCCATATGTGCCAATAATGAAGGCAAGAGTGAATGAGTGGGGAGGGTATGGCATGTTCAGACGAGTAGAGCGTATTGCATGATAGGCCAGCCTCGTCTAGGTTATCTAGGTCTACCACTACTATACCTCTCACTTCTCCAATGCGGGGGGTGGAAAGGTCAAAGTGCTGCAGGTCATGTTGAACGAAATCATCATCAGGGGAGATAGCAAAAAGAAATCCAGTCCCCTCCCTCTTGTTATAACAGGATTCCACTGTAATTGATAGCAGAGTGCTAATCTTCTCTATTCTGTCCCACCTTTGAAAATTTGGGAGGATATGTGTGTCACACACAATTGAGAACTACAGAGGGGAAAAAAGCAGAGTCATATTTAGATGACTGAGAAATTTTAGAAATTAATGGAGGGTTTTTTAACCTCATTATATGATATAACATTTTCTCTATTCATTTTCACATGTACCTTGCTGTTTTTCTCGCTTTAAATGTTATTTTGTGTTAAAATGTATTGTTACTCCACAGAGAAAGCGGACAGCTGCACAATAAACGCCGTGACGTTCCTGAAGCAGATGGAAGTGCTCACCGTCAGCTCTTTTGGTCAGCTCAAAATTTTTGATTTGCGGCAAGAACCTGGGAAAGGTGCCAAAATATTCTCTGTGTGAGTCCCTTGTTTGTCTTTTTTTCCCGTTTTAGTGGTAGAAGGTATTGCAACCTGTCAGTCCTTCTCCTTCACTGTCCTTCCGTGGTTTCTACTTTTCTGTATTGCATTATACCTGCCCTAAATGGCTATTGTAGTATTGTAATGCTTTTCTTTTGTTTTAGTAAAAGTTTTATGGCACTTACAACACAACAAAAGTCATAAAGTGCTGAAAGTTAGAGGTGTTACAAGAAAGTAACAAACATAAAAATGAGGGAGAGATAAGTAGGCCTACAATAGATGTTTGATAGGAAAGAAGGAGCAAGCCATATTACAGCACCAGCCAACCACCCACAAGTGCTTTTCTTTAGCTCTTTGGTCAAGGACAAGTGGGTGGCTAGAGGGCATCACTGGTAAGTTGTACTTCTTTTCTCTTTTCTTTTCCTCTACTGTGTCTGTCTCTCTGTCTTGTTTTTTTCCCAGCTCAAAGGGATGTTTGGAGGGTCCCATTTCTTTGCTTTCCCCCCTTTCGTTTCTGCCTGTCTGTCTATCTTACTTTTTGTCAAAATTAAATGACCATCATTGTGTCAGTGTGATTCATTTTACTTGAACAAAAAAACTCAAACTAACAAAATGATGATTATTGTGTTGATGTGATCCTCTAGACTGAAAACAAAATGAAATGTGAGGAAGCATTGGGGAGTTAGGCTCTTGTCAAAATAATGAAATTTGAAGAAACATATTTTCCCTGCTAAATTGGCAGTTTTTATTTGTGGGGTGGCTCAACACCTTTTATGTCCATTTAAAAACATATTTTTGTAAGGGTTTTACTTTAAAATGTTGATTAAAGGCACAAAAAAGTTTAAATTTTCCACTTTCCAAGGACTCTCAAGCTGTGGAACTCACCTATGTTTGGTGGCAATTTTCTAGCTAATTTTACCTCTGAAACCAGCCGACCTCACTTCCTTCATTCGCAGATATCTTGTCCTCTTTTCAAGATAGGTGGGTATTTTTTTTCATCAAAAACAAAACAAGTGAACAAGCTTTATGAAGATACGAATAACTTCTCCTTCCCAAAAACTGGCAAGCGCCTGATTCCATGACGTCATGACACAAATGAAGAGCAAACAAATTTCTTGTTCAACTTATTTTGAACAAAGGCAGCCTGGAAACCAATATGGTTGACAAAACTCTCTTCTCTATTGTTTGGGTACTGAAAACTATTTGCCTCCCACACCAGTTTTCTTCTCTCCTAAGGAAGTGGACGGTGAAAGGGCAGCTGTTCTTTTGAATTGGTTTTCACATCATTCCCCTTGTCTTTATCTTCATACCTGTGTTTGTCTTTGTGCTAATTGTTTTCTTTGTACTTGCCTTTGTGCTCGTCTTTTGTCTTTGTACTTGTTATTGTCTTTGTTCTCATCCTTAACTTGTCTTTGTCTTTAATCTTGTCTTCATACTCGTCTTTGTCTTTGTACATGTTATTATCTTTGTTTTTGTACTAGTCTTTATCTTTGTTTTTGTCATTGTCTTTGTACTTGTTCTGGACTTTGTCTCTGCTCTTGTTATTTTCCTTGGACTCGTCTTTGCCTGTATACCGTTGAGCTGAACTGGCTGTGTGTCTCTCCTTTCCCCCCAGCTCTGAGGGCCAGCACACCCCGCTGCTGTGTGTGGACAAACACCCCGGTCAGGCCCACGTGGTGGCCACTGGCGGGGAGGACGGGATGCTCACCGTGTGGGACCTGAGGAAGGAGAAGTTCCCCATGACACTGCTGGAGGCTCACACTGGCGCGAGTAAGTACGGTATGACACGGATAGGTCAAACACAGAAAGACTCGAAATCGTGCTTCCGTCGAACTGTGCCTGTATTCCCCAGGGTTTTTTTCTTCTTTATCTTTGTAAGATATCTAGACCTGCATGTTTGCCGACAATCGTCTGAAATCCGACAATCGCGATCCGACCCGTGAACCGGCCGATGCTATCGCTAGGCCCACCTGTATCAGTCAATGTGCGTAGTGCGAGGCTTGGCCGACTGCCAGCGCCCCCTTTTTCTCCCGTCGGCTTCGTCGGTACTTTCGTTTTCGTGCCGACCGCCGACGCGCGCACCGCCGACTGCTGACGTCGGCGTTTCCGACATAATTGTCGGAACCTAAGTAGAAATGCGAATACGAAAAAGGACGACAATCTAAATTATCTACTTTCAGTTTCGTGCTCGAGCGGCCATTTTGAATTTCGTTTGTTGACTAATTCAATTGTTCAGATCGTGTAGATTCAAGTCCGACTCACTTGTTCTAATAGAATCTAGATCTAGATTAATATAATATAGATCATTATAGACCTCAATGGAGGATTCATATTCCAATTCTATTGTGTCAAACCCTATCATAGGTTGTGCTGTAATATTAATATTGGCATTGGTAAAAATAATCATTTCATCAGGTGCGTGAATTATTTATTTATTTAGAATCTAGACTCGGCCGAGTCCTTCTGTTCGGAATCGGATGCGGATTTCTAGTTTAAGGCCTCTTCCTATTCATTTGTTCAACAAGATCGAGATCTAGATCTAGATTTATTAAGATTATTATATCTAGATCTAGATGTATATGGAGGATTCATATTTCAATTCTATTGTATTGTATCAAACCCTACAGCAATGTAGATGTAAGCCATCTAGATCTAGATCTAGATCTATATATGCTCCTTGTCTGTTTTGGAGTGTGGTTTTTTTCATTTAAAATAATTTTTTTTCATTTAGGACTTGTTTTGGCCTTTTTACATGAGGCCCGTTGCAGGTTCTTTTTGGGGTTAGGGTTAGGTCTCTTCTTTATTGTGTTTGTTGGGGTGGTCGCTCGTTACTCGGATGTCCTTCCTTATGACACCCACAAAGGCTTTTTTTTTTGGGGGGGGGGTTGGGGTTGCGCAAAATTTTCAGACAATCTGGTTGAGGCTCACATGCAGGTCTAGATATCCCTTCAACAGAGATGCCAACCAGTACGATTTTACTTATTTTAGTACAATTTTTGGACGAAAATACGCGAATACGACTTTTCATGAAAAAATACGCATCCTGGAATGCGAAAACTACGAGATTCAGCTTGGGCAAGTAAACCTAATTTAATTATCTCAAGTCATCTTTTGTCAAAATAGTATCAGTATCGCAGAACTGGAATAATTGAAAACCAAGGCCGATGTGGTCAATAAGTTCATTATTGCCTGTCGCTATCGTGATATTTTATTCGTTTAGCTTTTCCCCGTCTGGAGAGTACGTTTCACTTTCACGCGAAAAGGCAGCTATGGCGGCAAGCGGAAGCGTATGTGACACCGAGGCTCGATCGGGAAAATCAAGATCTACTTTCGCTTTCGTTACCACTGAGAAGTTTGCCAGCAGTTGTCTGATAACGCAACATTTGTGGCATGCGGGTTGTGCAGTATAAACACAATGTCGCCGTGCAAATAAAATGTAATAAATACTCTGACTCGTCGCTGTGCTGTCACTTGTGGAAAAAAAGAAAAGAAAGTAGCCTACAAGCGTCGTCCAATTTTTAGATTGTCTGGCTCGCCATCGTGACCGGTCACTGACCGTGTGCGCCTTGCATCATAAATAAATGTGGCATCGTGTGAGCAAAGACCGTCTTTGTGGGAGTAACGGCGTTGCGAAGTATATGACTACGGAATAGGGGAGGAGATTATTGAGTTTTTGGGGTTTAAGATACTATTGGGGGTTTAAGGCAACACCAGAGGACAAAAACTTGGAAGCACTTTTCAGAATTTTGATTAGAGCTTTCTGCAAAGCGCGCGTTGGTGCAGGCCATGTGCGGAATCGGGACCCCCTCATACTTTGCAAGTCAGTGTTATTGAAATAAAGTGTTCGCGTTTCATTGGATGGGTGATAGTAAATTATACCTACTTGGATTGGTGATAGTAAATTATACCTACAGTATATGTTGTAGCTTTCTGTTCAAGACTGGCAGATTTTCAGTGTCACTGCATCTTGCCCTACCACAGTTGTTACAACTCTCACAGTGCATGGGTCTACTTGAGCCATTCAAGTTATTGCTTTTCTCTGAGTTTGAGCAATAATTTAAGTCTGTCAGTTCATAATATGAATCATGACATCCCGACTGGTTCTTGGTAGTCGAAATTCTTGTCCTAGGCCCTTCCGAACTCTCAAAGCAGGATTTATTTTTTATATAATAATGAGAGGAAAATATTATATAATAGACTGAAATACTTAAGTCAAACAAGACCCCAGTACAACATTGAACACTGACATGTTGTTGACTGGATACATGTATATTGTACGCGTGTGTGCTCCCTTTTTCGAGCTGGTGAGCTAGTAATTTTTTTTCAGGAAATATTGCTGGACACCCTGAACATTTTACTATTACTGGTTGGTCGACCATCAATGATTTATTTATAGAGGCACCAGCCATCCATGTCCAGGTGCTGTTTTAGCCTACTGGTTGGTTGGTCGGTCGTGGGGAATACACATTTTCAACTGAAAATACACATTTTCATATTTCCCAATACACATTTCGGTTTTCTGTGGTTGGCATCTCTGCTTCAACTACGGATCCCTTGAATTACCAAGGCTGGTCCCAGCAAATTCGAGCTACCCGTGTTACAAGGTAAATTTTTTTTTACATAGATGTAGGTACCCCCAATTGACGCGATTTAGATCATTTAGGAGGCGGGCTTCTGGCCCTGTCTGTTAGGGCCACCCCAGACTGAGAGGGATATAACATCCCAGTAGAAATACCAAGACACTGCCGACTCGGGAATTGAATTCAGGTCTCCTCCTGCATGGGACAGCGAAGCGCCTAATCACTACAGCACAGACACTGGGCAAGTAAGTAAAACTCGGGGGGGGGGTCCCACTGACTCTGTTGTTCTACTACTATGTAAATACGGTCAAAATCGTCAAAGATGGCCACCCATTGTCGAGGTGGCCATCTTAAACGGTGTCGTTATAATGTTTTAAAATGCAAGGACCGAAATGGGTAATGGCTGTTTGTACAGGTGCTTGTTTTATACAGGTGGCCATCAGAGCAGGTTTGACTGTACTCCGCTGTTATTGTCTGGGAGAGGAGCAGTCACGGTGGGTAGCAAGCTATGCGAAGCTTCATGAATGAGAAATGGTGAAGCTAAGGGAGAAGGTGCGCACATCCATGCTCCATGGGTGGAAATAAAGCTTTTATCTGTGGGAAAGAAGCCACTGTGTTTTGAGCAGGAGACAATGAGTATACCTTATTCATATTACTTTTTCACTGATGTCTGGTGTAAAGGTAAGGCTCTTTACCAGTGCACTCATGGGAGGGTTTTTTTTATTGGGCATCTCTGCTGGGACGTTGTATCCATCTCAGGCCGGTTTAGTTTTCACAGGCATGAACAAGGCAGTCCAATGCCTGAATTATCTAATTTACGTTGATTGTAGCATTTTCAATTATATTTGTCCTCATTTATTAATCAATATTATTTTTGTTCTTTCAGTGTGGGAAGTCAAGTTCCATCCCCACAACCCTCATCACTTGTTCACCTGTTCTGATGATGGCTCACTGTGGCACTGGGATGGCTCAGCATTCAGCAATGAACCCATGTCCACTTTCTTTCAAGGGAAAGGTGAGAGCAATTCAACTGCATTGGTTTCAAAATTGCCAACCTAGAAAAAGATTGTTTTGCAGCAGACAAATTTTCTTTTTGAAAAAGCAATAGTTATTGTGAATTTTCTATTAACCCTTAAAACCCTATACCGCTGACGCCGTATTTTCCTATACCGCTGGTCGACTTTATCGTTTAATTCCCAGTGCTAGAAACTGGGGATGTAACTCCAGATGACTCTGTCGCGAGCAGAAAGTATCGATAATGGCATGAGAGCAGTTCTACACCGAAAGTTTGGAAATTTTGCGAGTTTTTAAGAAAAAATAGTCACTTTTCGCTGCCAGGCCCTACAGGCCGCAAAATTTTTGACATTTTTTATCCTAACCAGACCCCGATAATGATCTCCCAGTCGGATATATGGATAAATATGACCGTTGAAGACGATTGCAATGTTCCGCATAACATCGATGATGGTTTTGAGTCATTTTGACGATAGTGGAATTGGCAGGGGATCACCACTAAAGCTACCAGAGGCTAGATCTACGACTGGGTCTAATGATACTTTGACTGAAGTGGAGCCGGGGATCACACACAAGACTTAACTTACCGAGTTGGTCATAAAAACTAGTATTTTAACCTTTTCCCCTTTTGTTCAGACTGTACATTTATATATAAATAAAATTTTCAAACTTCAGTAAAATCTAACAACAATTAAACACACAGTAAACAAAATAATGAACCTACCTAATTTTTTCTAGTATGTCAATTTTAATTCAGGATTCTAGGGAGGTATGAAAAAAAAGAATTCAGGGTTTTAAGGGTTAAAGCCTATGAAATGTAAAAATTAAGTATTGAACAACTTACCTGAAAATCTCACAAACCAAAGTTTTTCAGCTAACATTTTTAAAATGTTCCTACCAACTTCAATAAAAGGGGAAATGAAAAAGGAAGTGGATTATAAGTCAACAGACAGCCCAAGGGAAGGTGCTCTGTTAATTTTAATTTTGTTTCACTCTCCTGCTTTATTTAGAAGATGGAAGTGTCTACGTACTCCCTGATTGGGGTCTACGTAGTCATGGTGTCTAGGTGGACCCCAAAAATGTTGGATTGTGATTGGCTCGCTGAGAGAGCGGTAGTTTACATTGGTTACAATGCAAGGCTACTGATCATCTCGGGCGGTGTGTCGATCTAGTGTTACTATGATTTATTTATTTTAGCCCAGAGAGAGAGAGTATTTAATGAATAAACATATCTAGATCTAGATTTTGTTGTGCACCCAGCCAAGAGTGTGCAGTTCGCCCACTAGGCCACCACTAGATCTAGAATCTAAATTTAGACCTAACTGCACACTCTTGGCTGGGTGCACAACAAAATCTAGATCTAGATACGTTTATTCCTTAAATACTCTCTCTCTCTCTCTCTCTCTCTAGGCGAAAATAAATTAATTATAGTAACACAAGATAAATCCAATCACTACCCGAGACGATCAGTAAGTAGGCCTAGCAGCCTTGCATTGTAACCAATGTAAACTACCGCTCGCTCAGGGAGCCAATCACAATCCAACATTTTTGGGGTCCACCTAGACACCATGACTACGAAGACCCCAATCGGGGAGTACGTAGCACGGCGTACAGACAGCGCTCTTTTAGTTGGCTCGGCGATGGAGTGACCGGGTCACGGCGGGCCGGTCACCCAGAGGTCACTAACCTGCCCTCCCGCTACCTGCGTCGGTAGCCGGTGAAATGAATTTTTCAACACATGTTTTATCGTCTTACACACAAAAAAAATATCATACGGGAACACAAGTTTGTTCTTTAGAGAAAGCAACTAAACCTCTTTATTGGTATGAAATAGCAATACCATGGCTGCTCACGTTTTTGAGTTAGATGCTCTTAAAATGTATGTCTATTTATAGTTAGTCAAAACAACAAACACATATTGAATGGCTAATAACTTATAAGCCTAACGATAAATATTTACAAAACTGCCACGTAAGACAGGAAAATGTGTTTAGAAATTGACTCACTCAAAATTTTGTTTCCAGCACGAACATGGAACTTGTCATGAGCATGATAGCCAAAACGCTTCCCTGCATTCATGACTTTTTGTATCCAATGGAATGTGTATCCTCCTGAATAATGATATACTGACGTATCTTCAATATACAGCACCGATTTCTTTTCACGAAATGAACATGTACAGAGTAAAAGTATACATTTATACAATTTTTCTTTCTAAACATATCCAGCAGCACGCAATGAGGGAGCTATTTGCAGGAGATGCGACACAAAAATAAAACGCATTATGTCTATCTGGTTTGGGATCCTTCATACTCTGGCTTCCAGTTTTGAGATCACTTGGTGACTGCTTTCTGTGTCCTGTTCTCCTAAAAGCCCGAGAGCAAACATGTGTTGTTGTATGTGTGGAATACAGTGTTGTTATGATATGTGTGGCTTTGGGATAACTTTGCGGGGAAATAGCGTCTGAATGCGGACATGTAATTGTCGATTGCTAAGAAGATTTGTGGAACTGAAAATCGTTCGACTGGTTTGAGATTTGATATTGCAGTGTGAACATGGCTAAATCTTTCATTGAGAAGATTGAATATTGCTTCCATTCCTTTTGCCTCCTCAATTTTTGCAGTTTCGACGGAGTATTTTCTTGTTTCTGTACAAATTGTGTTTGTTAGTTCCTTGCATACATGGGGATGGAGGGAGGTATGTTTGGGGTGTTTTACGATGTTAGCTTGAAATTGATCTTTGTATGCAGCCACCTAAGCGGTACCGACAAAACGGAGAAGGAATTCACATTTCTGCTATTGTCAAACGCACACCACATGTTCCTACTAGTGTCAACTGCTTTTTTGCGGCATAAATTGACGTGACGTAACACCCTATCTCCCTTTGATAGTTGAAATCGCGGTAAAACACTTGACACAAATGTTAGCGGAATACGACTGTTCATTTTCGTCCCTCACATCAATCCCATAAATCAAGAGAATATCTCCTGCCATTGTCTTACATAATCGGGGCTTTCTGTACTTGTTTTGTTTGACAGTTAAATTTAAACACCAACACACACGACAAAGTCCATTCAGAGACTCTATGCCTCTCATATGTGTGACTGGCCCATTGCAGTTTAACGATTTTTACTTAGGAACACAATTCACTAACTGATAGCCAGTCACTGCAAAGTGGTGGAAAAACAAAATTCATATCATTAGAAAATATGATTTGATGGCTATCACACCGTGCAAACAGAAATAAAGACCATCGTTCCATTCTCGAATGATTTGTAATTAAATTTGAAGAGATAACATTATTATCGGCGCTTCCAATCACTTAACACTCACAATTTAAACCTGTTATTATTCCCAAACGAATCAATGAAAACTGTTGAAACTTTCACAAGATATCAAGAAGACGTAGACGAAGCGGAATTGGTGAAGAAATAGGTTCTAGGAGTAGAGTGAGCATCATTTTACGGCTCATGAAATTAGGGGAAGAAACGCGTTCTGATAAGGACAAGATAGGACAGCGCTGTGCACGAGTTGACACCGGTCAATCCCCGACTTGACGCGTGAAATTGCAGGTCACCTGCCGCTAATTTATGGCCTACCGCGGGGGGCCCGGACTAACTAAAAGATCGCTGAGACGGAATTTCGGACTCCGTGGTAGACACTTCCTTAGAAGATAGTGAAAGTGGTCGCACCTAGGTCTGGTTGTACCTAGGGCAGTTTACCCTATTAGAAACCTGCCAGATTGGGCATTTCCTGCTCTTGGCCATTATTCCTCTATACATTCGTTGCAGGTCGGTCGGCAATACATTTTCACATGCAAATAGGTAAAAATCTGGCTAGTCATGATAGTGGAACTTTTTGTGTTAATTTCCTCCTTTCTTTGATTCACTCATTCTTTCTGTCAATCTAGAGGTTTTTGCTGCGGTTGTAAATTCTGTTGATCAAGAAGATCGAATTTTTTATTTTAAAAAGAAAATCACCTTCAACTCTGTCTAGATCAAGAGAAATTGTCAATGTGAGAATTCTACGGGAGCAGGATAAGGCCATGGTGAAAAAAATTAATGCTTAAACTAAAATCGAGAATAATCGTAAGTGCTCCATTGTTGTGATATTCCACTTCCGAACTCGAAAATGGAGGAAAACTAGGGTAACAGTATGGGTGACTGTCTCGTCAAGATTGATATTCCAAGATTTACCTTATGTCAATAGTGCAATGTTCATTTGAATTGTTGTGGCAATAGGAAGGGGGACTTACTTTTAAACATTACCAGCAAGGGAAAGATATGTTGATGAAGAAATCAATTAAGATACAATCTTAGTGGAAAAAAATGGGTGTACAGTAGAATACGACAATAGCAGGACTTTTGGTTCCAGAAGAAAAGTCCCGCTGTAGGCGAGTTCCCGCTATAGGAATGCAAAGGGGAAATTACCTAAAATTTTCTATAAAATAGACATGATTACATCCCTTCCATATCAATAAAATGTGTGCTTTAGATTAGTCTTCCTTTTCTAGTCAACTTTGTTCATTATCTCGGCCTTTCATTCGAGTGAAAAGCATTTCCTTTTGTCTTCGTTGGAAGCCATCTATTCCTCTGTTTGTTGCTTGTGCTGTCTATTGTACCGGTAGGCCTACTGTAGAACTGGAGAAGTGTATGCGTGGGTATGCTTGAGCATCAACGATCGCAATTCAATGAATCAGGAATCACACACTACACGCTGTACTCTTCTTTTACTTTTTGGCCTGTGCTAGGGATATAACAGATCGACATCACGATTGTAGTGGTTCACACAGCGTATCCCTCCACACCATCTCTCTCTCCGCTCCATTCCTCTCTAGGCCCACCACCTGCCCCTCACTCATCACTGGACTAGCCAATCACAACGCCGACTGCCTGTTTGGAGCCCGCCTACAACCCCCCCCCCCCCCCCCCACCCCACCCCCAAGCTAGAGTTCTCCCGATCTCTCCCGCTGTATCCAAGTTCGGGACTTTCTTTTCCTTGCTATATCCAAGCATAAGTAATTGAGTTTACATAGGAAGAAAAACGGGGATTCCGGTATGGTCCCGCTGTAGTGGGTGCCACAGTAGTCATGTTCTACTGTATTATGAATTGTCGGCAATCTATTCAAATAGACTCCCGCCAGATGCCATTTTCAAGCCTCGAAAAGCATGTAAAATGTATATTTCATATTGATGGTGATGATTTGAGAAGGTATGTACATAAAACAGTGGATTCGACTTAAATGAAGTATGCGTGACTGCTAGATTTTCCTTGGTTTAGATAAGCTGCTCAATTAGAAAGAAAAAAATCAGGGATTTTCTTTTCTTTTGATTTACTGCTGTTTTCAGATTTAGTGTTTTGTTAGGCTGACCCCAGTGTGTATAGATATATTTACAGGTAGGCCTACATGCCTACTTGATGTTTTAGTTATGACTAGCCTACATGCTCTCAAACACAATTCTTTTTTTCCTGTCTTCAGGGAAAGAGAGCGAAATGAAGGATGTGGGAATCAGCAGCCCTTGGTTGAGTCTGGAGACCTCGAGACAGAAACTGGACATTGCCTCTCTCCTTCCTAACAAGTCTTTACCTGTGAATTCATTGGACATTGAGACCAGCACGCTACTGTGTGGCACCGACAGTGAAACAATTTACTCCATTGACTTGCCCATGCTTAGATAGGATCAGATCACCATCATCATCATCATCATCATTTTGTTTAGTGAAGTCAGCTTATAAATAAACTTTCGGGGACCATTTCTCAACGTTAATTTATAAGCAAGATCTGTGTAAGAGGAAATACTAAAGGGGGCCTTGGAACATAGACCAATATGGCTTTACTCCCAATGCAAATTTGTCGAGGATGGTATGATATGTAATTAAGAGTACTGCTGATGAGTTGCACTCTTTGTTGAATCCAGCTCTAATTCTAAATGTAAAATTCAGCAAAAGCGAATTTCTGAGCTTGGGGGGGTTGCTTAGGAGCAAAGGTGCTATTTTAGACAGGTGGCTGTCTTACACGGTGTCATTGTCATGTAAGAAATACACAAGGGAGGAAATGGGGAGGGACTGTTTGAACAGCTAATTATCTCATCATAGAGGTATCCGTTAGAGCAATACAGAACCCAAGACTCCGGTAACTTGAACAAATATTCCTGTCTAATGAGAGTGAGTACTATGTGAATATGATGTACATGATTAGGCGAGCACCTTCGTCTGTTTATTTCATTTAATATCTTGCTTTATAAGATTGGCTACATGGTTGGGTTCAGTGAAAAGAGATAACACCAAATCATTTGGAAGAAAACTGTGGGAATGGTAAAATTGTCAGACACATTATAAAGAGCTGAGTTGCTTTCCCCAAGTGCAATAGGACTAAGTACTCCAAAAACACAGGAATCTGTCTGTCATGAGAATGAGGAATTGTTTACACCGGGTTTCACATTTTTTCATTAATGCTGAATTGGATCTATGTAAAATATGGTCACTGCCTTCATTAAATGGTTCAAATGTGTGTAAAATTATATTGTATACCATTTAAATTGTTTGTAATAAATGTTCTATAAGTACCAACTTGCATTTCTTTTATGTGTAGGCCTACTTTGTATGCATCAGTGTTTTGGTGGGTAAGACATTCCTAGCAAAATTGCATATGATACTCTCGAAAGCTCTGACCAAAACAAGCCAAACCCACAAAACAGTCAGTGAAGTGGAAGACAAAATGGGCATCTCCTCACAGACAAGAATGACTCAATGTATTAAAATAATACTGGTCCAGAATAGTACATGTATAGCGAACACTTTTATTATGAACTCCACACAGATAATTTGCTAACTTACAATTGCAAAGTTATAATCTTGCTGGTTTACAAAAAAAGTAACGTAGCAAAGTATAAATTGTGGGTGGTTGGCGGGTGCTCTGGTGTGGTTTGCTGCTTCTTTTCTATCAAACATCACATCTATCATCCTTATCTCTGCTCCTTTTTTGTGTTTCTCATTAGTAGCACCTCTAATCTTCGGCAATTATAAGTTATATGGCCTTATTGTGTCGCAAATGGTGTTAAACACTTACTAAAACAAAACAAAGTATAAAGTACAGCATTTTTCGTACGTTGTATCGCATTCCCAACTTGTTTGACATTGAAAGAGCACTTATATGACATTAGAGTCCCCAAACAAACAAAAAAATGTTGCGAAGCCGAGCAAAATGAACCACTTTAGTTGACATCAAAGAAAGTTGCAGAACATCCGCCTTGTGCCAGCACGGAAATAATAGGACCAGTTCTCGATTCTCTTTGGGAAAGAAGTGTGTTATCCAAAGAACAGGATGAGTGAAAATAGAACAAAAGTTAATTAAAAAAATAAATTGGGTTTATTATCTGAAACAGAACGGCCAGAAGATCAAAGTTTCTAGGGATATGTTGATTCTCTAACTGAGCTTACCTATTGTAAAGTGCTGTAGAAAAGCCCATGCCAGCAACATCATCGCCTGTCTCACCCTGTACATATACCGACAAACACGTTCCACTCTTCCCTACCCAAGGCTGGCTTCTTTACATTATTTAAATATATTTCCTCTTTTCTGTACATCATTCTCTGTGAGTGGGTGGTTGGCGGGTGCTCTGGTGTGGTTTGCTTCTTCTTTCCTATCTATCATCTGTATCTCCCCTCCTTTTTTTGTGTTTGTTGCTCTCTTGTTGTAACACTCACCTCTAATCTTCGGCACTTATATGACCTTATTGTGTTGCATGTGCCGTAAAACACTTACTAAAACTTTAAAATTATCTGTGACTTTCCTACAGGTCCCACGTGGCCTTCCCCTTGATTGCATAACCTGTGGTTTCCCATCTAACACTTTTTTTTGTCATGTAGCTGCCTGATTTGCTCAATCCTATCAATCACCCCCCCCTTTTTTTTTTTTGCTTTTTCTGTCTTGTTCTCCTTAATACATGTACTTCCTCGTTGGTGATCATGTCTGTCCGTCAGTAGGCCTACCTGAATGACTTTTTCTGGCACTTGTTGATGACAACCAAGATGCTCCAGCATTTTGTAAAGTAAAGAGTATTTTAGAAGAGTCCAAGCCAGCTGCACCACCGAACAATCCACAAGGGGCGAGCAGGCTAAGGGGGTTGCTGTCCACATCTGGTTGACGTTTACGAAGTTCCCCTGCCACTACATGTATTTTGTTAGCAAAGCACTTGCTAATGATAAGCTGGATGCTCCAGCATTTTGTAAAGAGCGTTTAAGATGAGTCCAAGACAGCTGCACCACCAAACAGGCCACAAAAGGTGAGCAAGCTAAGGGGTTTCTGTCCACATCTGGTTGACGTTTCCGAGGGTCCCCTGCCATTGTAGCACTAGCAAAGATAACTGTTTCTTGAACCCTGTTTTTGTAAGCTATCGGAACCTCATCGGTTTCACGAAATAGCCTGCACTGGTCAAGGACAATTTGCTGTCTGTGTCCGATAACTCAGATGTGTGATGTTAACGGGAGACGTAGCCTACATGATACGAGGAACGTTCGAGGGATCTGACTTTCTTTCAAAGTTTAAAGGTGATATAGGCTAATTATAGAACTATTAGATCTAGAAGAATAATGACGGAATTTGTTGAGTTTTAGGAAACCTATGGGCACTTCCACTCCTGCTGTGTTGCACCCCTGCTTTCTTTTCACTGTTTTCCCTATATAGCGGTAGGCTACGTGTAGTGTTGGACAATCTATTAACTAACTCACGCATCCACCTCACGGTCACGTGCACAAACACAAATACCTCCCCCCCCCCCCCCCCCTCTCACCTCCCCCAGAACCACTCGGGCCCGGGCTCCCGTCATCCAAACACATGAACTTACCGCTGTTCTTTACTCTAAAATAATGGTGGGTGGGTGGCGGAAGTCTGGTGTGGTTTGCTCCTTCTTTCCAGTCAAACATCTATCAATCATCCTCATCTTTTCCTCCTTTTTTTGTGTTTGTTACTCTCATGTAACCCCTCCGGCACACTGTGGCCCAGAATGGATACGCAAAACTGATAACCTTCCCCCCCCCCAAAAAAAAAGGAAAAACCTTGTTTTTATAAGCCAACGGAGCCTCATCGGTTTCACGAATAAGCCTGCACTGGTCAAGGACAATTTGCTTTTTGTGTCCGACAACTCATATGTGTGGTGTTAAGAGGAGATGTAGGCCTACATGATACGAGGAACGTTCGAGGGATCTGACATTCTTTCTAATTTTAAAGGCGATATGGGCTAATTATAAACTAATTAGAAGAATTATGACGGAATTTATTGAGTTTTATGAAAAAAAAGTTGGTCTCTGCGTGTAGGACCCATGTGGGCACTTCCACTCGGATCACTCCTGCTGTATGTGTTTCCCTGCTTTTCTTTTCGTTGTTTTTCATATATGGCGGTACGTGTGGTGTTGGACAGTCTACTAACTCACGCATCCACCTCACGCTCACGTGCACAAACACAAATAAATACCGCCCCAACCACTGGGGCCCGGGCTCCTGTCGTCCAAACACCTGAACTTACCGCTGTTCTTTAATCTAAAATAAAGGTGGGTGGTTGGCGGATGTCTGGTGTAGTTTCTTTCCTGTCAAACATCTATCGTCCTCATCTTTTCTTCCTTCATTGGTGTGTTTGCTACTGTCATGTAACACCTCTAATCTTCGGCACACTTATATGACCTAAATTGTGTTACAAGTGCCACAAAACTCGAACTAAAACAATGAAATTGCAGTAGTGGTGAGTGACAACAGTTTGTTTGGTTTCGTTTTTGCTAATTTTTTATTTTATTTTAATTTATTAATTTTTCTTTTTTTCTTTTTTTTTTTTGGGGGGGGATATCAGTTTTGCGTATACATTCTGGGCCACAGTAGGCCTACGTACTATCAAGTTTGTTGGTTCCAAGTCTCAGGTTGGTAAACAGAACGGAGAATGTGGACCCCACAAAGTGATGGAAGTGTACAAAAAGCGACTATGATAGTGCCAGATTCGAAATAAATTTAACTTTTTGAGAGTTGAAGAGAGACATATCGACTCGAAACCGGCCATTCAGTTCAGGGGCGAAAAAGCAAAACGGAAAACAGACGGACAGAAATAAAACAGGAACAAAAAGTAGGGTCTACCCAATGTATCGTTTAACCATTCTCCAAAAGTTTCAATCATGCTAAGATTAAGAAGCGCCATCCAGCATCATTATCATGACATCACAAGAGCATTTACTGTTATTACATTGTCATGTAAGTATCTCTGTGGGAATTATTTTTACAAGATCACACCCAAGTTACATTTTCTCTACTGCAACATTCGCATAGTGTTACACCACACATAATCTGGTACACTTCTATTTACTGCACTTGAGTACTACAAGCATAGCGAAACTTTGCACATTAGGTAGAGCGGTATAGCATGTAAAAGTAAAAGATGATGATAATAATAGTAATAATAATAATAATAATAGCAAAAATAACAATAACAACAATGATAATAGTGGGCTGACTTAGGCCAGCAAATTTTAGTAGGAAGGAACCACTTGGCATGTTAGTACCTTACACCATATCATTGGAAAATAGAAACGGACACAAGGTCCACATGCATTATCAGGCCCTCATTTGCATAAATTAAAAATGGCCACACTGAAATATAATGAAAATGATAACTGGATATAACTTTTCACAGGCAAATGGTAGAACATTAATTGTGGTGTTGTTTCATATAAATATATGGCTGACAAACTCAATGACACCATCAAAGTTATAATAAAAGGTCAAATTCACTCCTGATTTGCATACATTAAAAATGGCCGTCACTGAAATATAATGAAAATGATAACTGGATATAACTTTTGACAGACAAATGGTAGAACATTAATTTTGGTGTTGTTTCATATAAATATATGGCTGACAAACTCAATGACACCATCAAAGTTATAATAAAAGATCAAATTTACTCTTAACTTGAATAAATTAAAAATGGCCGCCACTGAAGTATAATGAAAATACGAACCGAATATAACTTTTGACAAAGGAATGATAGAAGTTATATAAATGTGTTGTTTCATTATAAGTTCTGGCTGACAAACTCAATGACACCCAAAGAATTATCATAAAAAGTCAAATTAATTCTTAATTTACATATATCAAAAATGGCCGCCTTGAAAAATTTTAAAAATGACGCACAACCATAATTTTGGGAAGATACTAGGACTACACATGCAGTTTTGTTTTTGTAATTTAAAATCCATTTAGCAGGCCAGGTTCACCCATTTGTTGCCTATTCTTTCAATAACCAATGCATTATGTTCACTGATATGTACACATTATTTTCCTTGATTGAAACAAGCTCCCCTGCATGCTCAGAGAGTACTGCATTTCACACCAGCTTTGCAACATTTGCATGGAGGCTTGCACACTTTCTTGCACTGACATGTCACAAGGCAAGTGTTGTCCATCGAGGTAACCACTTGTCATTTGTCATGACCTATCCCCATTCATGTGGGTCAGGCAAGGTTGGAGAACAGATGAGGGCTTGGCCCCAGATGTGGCCTGCCAGATATGCTGTGTGTAATGTGTGTTG